GTCTGTGAATGGGCTTGAGGGGTCTGTGGGCTCCAGACCCAGCCTGAGCTCAACCATCGGCCCAGTCGGTGCAGGATTACTGGCAGGTAAAAGAGCTGCGATAACTAGTGGGGTGGCCTAGCTTTACAATTGGCATCACAAACAGGATCAAGAGATAGACAAATAGTTACTCAGTTGATTTGTTGCCTGGATGATCTGGCCAATAATGAGAGGTGTGGTCAGGTCCCCCACCGTTGTCACACAGCACATGCTGCTTCTGTTACTCTGGAGTGGGCTTTGGGGAGAGACATTGTCTTCTTTTTTTTTTTTTTTGGTCTCTGCTGGGGATTCTCCTTGTGTCAATGCAGTGGAGTGGTTGGCGTTCCCCTGAACTGTGGCTGTGGCTACTTTGTGGCATCTAGCTGCTTTTTCGGCAGCCATGGCTATTGCAGTGGCCATGGTAGGCCATCTGTGTGGAAGTGGCATTTTTGTCATGCTCCTTGCCTGGTTGCGGGCAGGGGTGGCAGTCCCTGGCTCTTTTTTCAGGACCCCAGGCAGGCCCTGGGCATCTCTCAGATTGGAGTCAGAAAGTCTGGCTTCAAGGCCCTTTGTTGCTGAGCCCAAGGGTGAGGTCGTGATCAAGTGTCCTGCCTTCTCACCAACTGGTCGTGGGTGCCAGAGAATGATGATTTCACCCCGTTTGGCCGATGCTAGTGAAACAAGTCGAGCCCGTGGTGGTTCTTGTAACTTATTCTAAGAGAAATAAGCCCCAGACGGGACCCCAGGCGGGACCCCCGGCGGGACCCCAGGAGAAAGCCCTTTGACAGTTCATTCCGTGCCTCCTGTGTGCCACCCTGTGGCCAAGCTCCGTGCCTCATCTCCTAGGTCGTCTCATGGGTTATCTGCAAAGAACCACAGGCAGATGCTTTCAAGGTGCGGGGTGAAAGCGCTAAAACGGAATTTGTTTGTTTTGAATAAGGAAAGCTGTCTTTCCAGACCACAGGGATTAAAACCAGGGAGGCTGAGTTCCAAATCACCAGTTGCCTAGCTTTGTCCAGCCTTCTTAAGTTTTAGTTTGGAATTGCCTGGGGAATTTGGTCTAAGTACACACTTGGCCCTGACCTCAGGGATTCTGACTCAGTCCGTCAGGGATGGAGTTCACTACTGCTCAGTTTTAAAAACAAGAGCCAGCATAATTCTAATGGAGGCAGATGACAAGTTAGCCATGGGGATTTGAGTAACATGGGTGGGAGTGGGGTGGAAGTGTCTGGGCTCCCGTGGGCAGTGCCGGGATAACAGAGGGGGTGTGGACAGCAGCACCTGCCTTAGTACCTGCCAGCAAGACGGCTCCAAACCAGGCTTCTCAAAGCTCGAGGAGCTGGTATATCAAACCTGGGATCCTGCGAAAATGCAGATTCTGAGGCAGTGGGGCTGGGGCAGGCCTGAGAGCTTGCTTTTCTAGAGTTGCCCTGGTGAGGTCGATGCTGCTAGTCCGTGGACCACACTTTGAGTAGCAAGGGGCTAAACAGTGCTCTCCTCCTCAGCTCTGCTGTGGACTGCTAGCACAAACAGCTAAGTTAACAACGGGCAGTTCTTTTTTCAGACCTAGAAATAGAAGAAAATACCTACCCTTTGCTCTGATTGTGAAAATTGGGGCATAGAATGCTTTCAGCCATAAACACTTATCTCCCTGGTCTCTTACATTATTAATTGTCCTCGGCAGCATGAGAGATACTGAGGAAGAGGACAGAGTGAGGGGTGATCTGCTCTGCGGCAGAGAGAGGTCGTGAAGAGCAAGGCCTCCAGTGCACAAATGAAGGTGGCCCTTAGGGGTGGGGGGTGTGCTTCCTCAGGACTTCTAGAGCTTACCTAGGAGTGAAAGGCTTTTAAATATAAATAAAGGAAAATGAGAATGTCTTTCCTGCATCTGTGAAATCACCTTTAACTTCAGCATCATCTGGAAGGGCTGTTAAAATGCAGATTGCTGGGCCCCACCCCCAGAGAGTCTTTAAGTAGGTCTGGAGTAGGGCCTGAGAAAAATCTGCATTTGTAACAAGTTCCCAGGTGACACTGATCATAGTTTCACTTGCACAACGTTAATCCCAAAAGACCGTCTTTGAGAGCGGCGAACTTGGGAATCAGTGCCACCAGCCCGGGCCACCTCTTCATGCTGCTCGCTCCCATCAAAGCAGTGTTGCCGGGGAGGGAGGGTCTAAGCTGGGGTGGGGCCTGGGGTGTGAGCGGGAGATTCACCTGTCCTGATATCCAAAGGTCTTCTTGAGGGTTAGGAGACATCAGATTTCTCAAAAGGAGAATCATCCCAGTGGTGGCACAGCCTGGCAGTGTCACCAGGGCCTGGGCCTCTCATCTACCTGCTTAGCTGATCACCCAGGGGGACTTGTTAAAAACAGAGCTTCCTGGGGTGCATGCTAGGAGACTGGAGAGCCCGGCTCAGGACCCCGTGCGTGGAGAAGAGGAAAGCGCCACGTGAGCGTTGGAGAGCTGCTCTCCTTTGTAATGGTTCTTGGGTTAACGATCACTCAGCAAGCGAGTGATCCCCTAGCAGGAAATTGGACCCTTTGTGAAGTACATTTCCTCGCTGGATTCCTAAAGTTATAGTCGATAAAGTCCTGCTGCATTTTCCAAAGTGTTTCATTTCCCATTGAGCAAGGCTTCCAGCCAGGAGCATCTGGCCAAGGGGACTCAGGACTCATCCGGGGTGAAGCCCCCACCCGACCCCCGTCAGCACTAACACTGTCCAGGGCCACTCTGCACTGGGCTGATAAAAGTGGAACTGATAAAAGTCACCGAGACCCAAATTCCAGAGAGGGCAACACTCCCAGACACACTGCGCAGCGTGGAGAGCACCTGTACGCAAAACGTCAGGCTGAAATCGAGGCGGTTGTTCGGATAACAGACAACTGGAGGAGATTTCTCCCTTTTGTTTGTCCTGCACGGGTTTGAGGACTGTGGTCTTCTCCTGAGTTTCCTGAGTCACCAGCCAATGCCTGGGAGCAGCAGCGTGCCTCAGGCTCTGTGCCAGGTGGTCACAGAGATGGCCCAGTCACTGTCCCTTCCCTTACGGAGCCCACTGTCGGGGAAAGGGAGGCGCTTAAACAGCTAAGTGTAAAAGCAGCGAGACTCCTAAAGCAGGCCCCTCAGCGCGCCCCTTCCCCTTGCAGGGGCTCTTTTCTCCACTGCACTTGTCACCGTAGCAGTGACGGCTGCGTACCTGCTGGTGCCTCATCTTCCCTCTTAGAGACCAGACCTTTAGCCCCTGGCCTCTTTCAGGTGGCTGCTGTCCCCAGGGTGTCAGAGCAGCCCTGTGCAGCTGGGTTGGCCCTGCAGCCCTGCCTGAACCTGGGGCAGGGGCAGTAGAACCGCCCGGGGGCTGTGAAGACACAGATGCTAGGCCTGCCCCAGTTCCTGATCCGCTAGGTCTAGGATGGGGCCAGTCAGTACCTCAAGTTCCCAGGCGACGCCAATGTGCGGGTCCCTGGACCCCACTTTGAGACCCGTGGGAGTGTGTGGCAGCATGGCCGTGGATCGATGCTGGGTGGGTGGAGTGACAGGCTTCTGAGAAGCTGTGCCAGTGACCTGAGAGGGCAAAGGTGGGACAATGAAACAGGCCCCAGCAAGGGGGCTGGAGAACAAAGTTTGGGGGGGCTCGTGTTCAGACACAGGTAACAGCAGAATCAGTGCTGGGCCAGAGGCAGGACGTGGAGGGTGGGAGTCTGGCAGCGGGAAGACGGAAATGCTACGAACCAAGATAGGCACGGGCGGGGGAGGGGCGCGCTCGTGCGGAGTGGGGGAGGGGAACAACGTGTTCCTTTGGGGACATGCTGGTTTGAGGTTTTTGTTTTTTGGTTTTTGGTTTTTAAAAAAGGATGGCCGGTACGGGGATCTTAACCCTTGACTTGGTGTTGTCAGCACCACACTCTCCCAAGTGAGCCAACCGGCCATCCCTATATGGGATCCGAACCCGTGACCCTGGTGTTATCAGCACCACACTCTCCCGAGTGAGCCACGGGCCGGCCCTTGGTTTGAGGGTCTAAGGAGACCTTCGGGTGGAAATGTTAGAGAGCTGGCTGGAAATACAACTCAAAACTCAGGAGAGAAATCTGAGCCGTGGGTGCAGGTCTGGGGTCTGCTGGATCGCAATGGGGCTGAGTGAGGTGAGGGAGCCGTGAGGGGCTCAGAGGAAGCCCAGAGACTGTCACCTGCGGGGGCAGAAAAGGCGATGAGAGGAGCACTCCGGGGTGCGTGGAGGGACAAGAGGGTGTCACAGGGAGGGGCAGTGCCAGATGAGGGAGCATCTCAGATGCTGGGCCCAGATCTGACACATTCTGGGGACTCCTCACAAGCAGCAGCCCCAGGAGGAGGGGTGGAGTTTGAGGCACGAGTGGAGGAAGTGGTCTGCGTCCTTTGAAGTCGGTAGATTTCCGACGACTCGTCTTGCTTCGTGCAGTTTTATTTTGCCCCAGTGACAAAGTCATTTTAGGTTCCCACACCATATTGGCGAAATATGCATAAGCAAAAGACAGGGTGCGCTGTGCACGTGCGGGGGCGTGGTGGCCAGCTCAGAGGGACGAGACCCAGTGACAGTGTGGTGGCCCAGGCCCCACGTGGCAGAAGCAGCACACGCTCACCTTTGTCCTCTTTGCACGTGACGCTGATGCAGACCCTCCTGGGACCTTGAACCCACTGATAAGCAGGATTCCGACTACTCTTCTCCAACTGCGTGGACAAGAATGCTGTGAAAGAATCAAGTTCTGCGGGCCGAGTGTCCCCAGGTGATGAGTTGGTGTTTCGTAGATGAACAGTCACTTTTTAATGTGTGGTCCTTGTTTAGTCATCAGGGTCTTTGCAAACCCTGGTTTTTGAGAACACAGGAATGAAGCTCGAGTCCCTGTATAAGGCCGATGACTTGGGATCATGCAGTGTGGGGCTGGTCAGGCTGCCACCAGCGGGGACTGCTACAGGCGGGAACACACACGCTGACTTGTGCTCTGTCTTTGCAGTTCTGTGCGGAGCTAAACCAGCCGATCCTGCCCAACATGCGCAGGTGGAAGGGGCCCCGGGGATGTTGGAAGGCCCTTGTTGCCGAGAAGCCCTCCAGTCAGCTGCAGAAGGTACACTCACCTGCAAAACCTGGCCGCCTTTTTCCTTGTATTTAAAGATACCTTTTCCCTTATTAAGGACATTTTAGGTTTTTCTTTGCCATTATCCTCGATGCAGTTTTGTATTGCTGCCAAATTTTAAATCTTTGCCATTCATTTCTAAGTGCCCTGGTTCTCGATTCGTGCTTAGATCAGGAAAGGACTCCTGCCCAGACGGAAGCGGGAGCTCAGGATGTTGGGAGGAGAAGAGAAATCCTGTTCAGGTTCAAGGCAGCAGCAAATGGGTATTTCTGTCCTTTGTCCTTATAATCCCTTTTCCACAGTCTGTCCTCGGCCAAGTTTGTGGAGAGCTCATTATTCACCGACTGAAAACTTGAGTGAGAATCACCTTAGTTCGTACATGAAGTATTTGCTTCCAGTGGTAGAAATTACACGCATGGAAACGTTCTCTTGAGATTTTCAGCAGACTTTGATTCTGAATTTTCTTTTGTCAGTATCACCCTGACGGGATGGGTAAATCTCTGAATATATTCGTTTTCACTCTTATGTAATACAAGACCAGATTAACTCACCTTGGAATATTTAATATCAGGAGGATTTTAGATTTTAAAAAAGACTTCTGTTAATCATCATGAGTTGAAAATACATCACTACGTAATTTTCCCATAACTGCAGATGTTACTTTTTTTTAATCTCTGGGATTCCTAATATGCTTTCAAACACATGTGAATTGTTTACATGACTGATATTTATAGTTTGGGCTCTTAAATCATAAACGTATACTGGATTTAAAGTATCTACCATTTATTGACAATATGCCCCTCCTCTCTTTTTAGCTGTACTGTACTTTAGAATGTGCACATAAATCTTACTTCTCCGGGTTTTGTGTTTGGGGGTGCAAACGGATGCCATGCTGACAGTGAGTCGCCATGCGTTCAGGCAGGCTGGAGACACAGCTGCAGTAGAAAGCAGCCAGCCTTCACGACTCCATCTCTTCTGTTCCGTGTGGAAATAGTAATAATGCCACCTTGCTTTTTTCATAGCACTTCACGTGCACATAGGTGTCTGAGGGTTCGTGAGGCTCGATAGTCCATTTAACACACTTCATTCATTCAGCAAATCATTAATGAAAGGCTGTGATGTGCCAGGCCCTGTGTTCCGTGCAAGGCACACATTTTTTGAGAAAAACAGACCCAGCTAGCCAGCCCTGCCCATTTCGTTTTTTACGTTTTGGTGGCTGGACGGTTCAGGGACTGAGCCCTGGACCTTCTGACATTCTAACCATCTGAACTACCCCGCCCATTTTTGCTCTTTGCAAGACCCAGTGGGGATTCCAGCCTGGGCCTGGCCTGGCCCCTCCCTCAGGGAGTTCACAGCCTGTGGCAGGGCCAGGACAGGCAACTCCAGGTCAGGACATCCAGGCTGTTGGAGAACAGTGCGTGGTTGCAGGGAGACGCAAGTTCCAGCCATTCAGACCTCTCAGCCTTGATTTTTTTAATCTATAAAATGGGAGGAATAGGCCGCCCTGTGCTCAGAGGTTGGCTACAGTATTTTGAAAGGTACTGTGCATTGGATTGCTTCATTAACAGAGCATAGGCCAGGGCCTGGCGGGTCTGCATGAGGCAGCAGCCAGCCAGGCTGCACTGGACTGAGAGCGCCTGCCTGTCTCAGGCTGCAGCTGGGCCCGTGTCTTGCCAGATGTTCCATGGGTGCTGTGGGCCCAGTGTGGCCAGATCTCCCAGTTTTATTTTTTATTTATTTTTTTTATTTTTTTGTGACTGGTAAGGGGATCGTAACCCTTGGCTCGGTGTGGTCCACACCACGCTCAGCCAGTGAGCGCACCGGCCATCCCTATATAGGATCCGAACCCGTGGCCTCGGCGCTACCAGCGCAGCACTCTCCCGAGTGAGCCACGGGGCTGGCCCTCCCAGTTTTATTTTAATGTGAAATTTCTTGAATTTGAAACATGGATGGATAATCCAAAAAAGTTTTCTAAACACTGTGAATCAAACACAATACATCTGCGGGTCACGGATGCTCATTTTCTGCTCTAGACAAACGTGAGAATGTGGTCGCAGCAGCTGCCCCTCTCCAATGTCTGAAATTATGTCCAGGCCCTTCTAGTCAGTTCTCTC